TCGATGATATAACAACATGTATGAAAGTTTTTAAGAGCTAGTATCCCTTTTGGTATGTTTATGACCGATATTCGAGAATAGAATACATTTTGTTAAACCCTCCTAATGACTACCAAAGCCAAAGGTGAACGAACAATTGCACAGGACAAAATTCTGTTGACAATAATCATAAGCACCAATGGATTGCATGTGGTAACAATTGAGTTGAATTTAAAAATTAGGCAGAAATGTCCGGAAATTAAGAACGATAATAAGTATCATTGATAATCCCAGTAGACATTCTCCTTACAGATTTCTACCAACCACTATATATATATATATGTTAAGTCTATCGAAGCGTCCAAGTGACCTGATTGAGATACGCGCAAAATCGAAGTTCCAAAAACAACGATTTGTCTACAAAAGCGGTTCTTTATTATATAAAATACAAAATTTAATTACAAACATCAACTTGTGAGGTGTCTAGGTGTTTAAACGCGTCGTTCAAGAATGAAAATAGTAAGGGTTTCGATAGTACAAAGATAGTCGATAGCTGTGTCGAAATTGGACAACATTTTATGAACAATCGAAACTCAAACCAAGAGCAAACGAATACACAACTGTGGATAACCGTTACAGTAATTAAAGTACAGTGATTATAATGACAAATACAATGATAGGTACAATAAACATAAGTATAGGTGAACGTTTCCAAATGTCACAGCACAACTTGCGTTACAATGTAAATGTGGAAATTGTTAAGGATACAACTGCTTACTGAATATAAATAAGTAGTATAAAACAATAAACAAAGGAGTGGGAGGAGAGTGAATAAGAACAATGTTATATATATATATATATAACATGACTAGACCAAATTATACTAAAATGAACTTGTGGACGTCTGAGAAGTGAGTCTTGGAGCGAACAAATAAGCCTAATGGTGCTAATGCTGCGACTCCCTAGGTAATTGAAGTAAGTAAATTAAGCTCTTCATTTACCTACTTATACGGTCATCCTATTTGATAGTCGTGTACAAATCCACTGTTTCTTTTACATCAACTTCTCCAAACATTTAATTTGTTAGGAATTCTTCATGAGCACACTGTGAAAGCCAATTCACAGCTTTTGTGAACATGTTTATATCTATGGGAAATACAAATAGCAGGAGCTAAAATTACGTCTAAATGATTTTCATCAATCCGCAAAGTTTTTCTTGAATTTAGACCTGGACTCATTAATGTATGAGCTGCTGATAAATTTTGCTGATTGAACGTTATATTCGGATCCTAAGCTAGGTTTTATAATTCGTTAGTTTTTAATGAATCTATGAAATCAAGTTATCAGAATCATTTATTATTTGCTGAATTAAAAGCATTATATCTTCAAATCAAACATAAATTGTGAATTAGCATGGTTACTAAGTGATAAGTCTTGCTAATCGAACGCTATACTCGGATCCTAAGCTAGCTAGTCTCTTAACCCCCAAGCTAAATCTACACAGCGACTTGAACACGTTAGAAAAGGCGTAAAATATGAGAGAAGCACATTACTCCAAAGGTTCATTTATGTACAGAAAATATAGGGTTTTTATAGTATTTTAGAAGTCCTTGAGTTTTACTGAAAATTCTAGAATACTGCTAAACATAGTAGCAGTGTATTAATCAGCCAATCAAAACTTCTACATGTGATTAATCATTTTCGCGATGTCCTAGCAAAACTTCTCGTGAAACACTGATTGGATAAAATGCTACTTAATGTTTCTTGAGCTTATCATGTCCCAACAGTTTCCAGTAACCTAGAGTCTTAAAACGTGCTGTGTGTAAGCATGTCTTTGTGGTATTTCTAATAACTAATTATTCCTATGTGTTTGATTGCGTGCTTATTAAGAATTACAGATATAAGTTCAATAATGCCCATCTAGTTCTACCTACCTTAAATTGCACTATTTCGGAAACTCTTAGTTACCACATTAATTCGAAAACTTTTAATAATCACTATGTTGTAATCATAGCTTTTCTCGTGTTCAACCTACCTTCTGAACAGCTTAAGGTGGGAACTTATAGTCTGAATCGAATGTTTGATTATAATGAATAGTTAACTTGGTTTCAAACATCTTTTAAATTTACTTTCATTTTATACGTAGATCTCGATCAAGATTTATTAGCTCTCGTTTGTCCACAAGTAATAATCTTGGTGACATCACAGCTGCTGCTAGATGATTAATTCTATGAATAATCATATGAATTATTGAGGTAATTAGTCGAAGTACTATCTTTTGGTAATAATTCGCATTATGATAAATAACAGTTGGTATGAATTTTATCCAGTGTTCACAGAGTTAAACACTCATTAAAGTCAATATAATGGACTTCGCTCGTGACTTAGTTGTGATGACGGTTACACTAAGAAATCAACTGACCAAATTGGATAGTATTGAACATACCACGGTGTTTTTAATTAGTCGATGGAGATCTCGCACATATCTGCCAGCTTTATTCATGTTTAATAAAATTTATTTATTAACTGTTCTATTTGTGACGAATCGAGCACATTTAGGAAAGATCTGTGAGTTCCAAGATCGTCACTTACGAGCAACATTATTAGTAGGCTGAATGAGTATCGAAAGTCATGTAATATCTCTTGATTGTATCATAGCAGTTATCTTCGAGTTTTAGGTGGTATTCTTATTATCATTATTGCTACTAAATAAATTCAATATCGAGCCTGATGTAGTTTGACCACACATTTGCAGATCCATTTCCCTAATGTACTGTGAATCTATATGAGAGTGATATGATATGTTTCAACCTACAAAAATTAGATTGATAGATCCATCATTAAGAGTGATGACTTTCATAGTTAACAAAAATAACTGACCCATCCTAACAATCTAAAAACCATCCCAGTTGAAAGCATGCTTTGCAGAATGTATAAAGCCATAGGACAACAAGCTTGGTAACAACTTGATATTCAATTATCAAGAGACACCAATAATGAAATTTTGATTTTCGATTGAAGGTAGTTTGTAGTTAATAACAATTAATGAAATACAATAAAAGATAATCCTATCTAGAAGTCTTAAGATCATATAAGCATTTAAAATGTCGGTTTTCCGTTGTTCTCTATACTACCATGTTTCTGATGCTGTCAAAAATTTTACGATATTATTAGCATATTCAGTTTCAAGTACGTCATGAACAAGACAACTGAACTATTAAGGTGAAACAACACATTTCAAAAGCTAGAAACCAAAGTTTTCGTAAACAAATGTAATAATGTCAATTGGGTTTTGTCTAACCGGAACACCTTCTTTCCAAATTTATCATGCAACATTGATATATACATAATAAGTCATGTTTTCATTCCCACCAAAAATTATATGTATCAAAATGTTATAAACACTACAAATGATCATATTTGGAGACTTTTATAGTAAGATGATATCAACAGAAGAACCAATGGAAATTAAGGAACACTGAATACATATTTTGTACTATGTATTAATTCCACTGTGATGCTTACACAGGACCCTCAATTCAAAAAAACCCCAAGATTTTCATGCAGAATATTATTTTTAGAAAATATTAAATACCCAATTTAGTATCTGATTTTACCTTTAATAACCTCCTTGAAGTGACGTTTCAATGCTTTAGGTTTTATCATTTACAGACTGGTTTTTTCTCCGATGAAACTGTTATGAAATAGGATATGTATATCTTCATATTATTTATTTATTTAAACACATACATATTGGTACAAAGGGGTACCAAATACATATGCGCCACACAAAATAATGTGAATGGGAGGAGAAAGGGGAAGAAAAAAAGAGAAATGGTGGGGGGAAATGAAATGTACAACCAGAAGAACCCTTTCAGTTAGGGAAGTTGCAACCACTTTTTATGAAGAAAGTAAAAGAAGGTTACAGCAGGATCGCCACTGGCTTTTATTCTGAGCCATATCTGATAACGTCTCTAGACACTGTGTTGCACCATCTCTCGGACCCTAACCAGGGAGCCGGGAAGGACCAACAGAAGCTAGTCCTTTGCAACTTTCTTTCATACTATGACACCATGTCATACACTGACCACCTCTCCACTTTTTCTAACCAGTCCCACAGTCGACAAATGCACGACAAGGAATCCTCTGGGACGACATTCGTAGAGCATGTCTAAGCCACCGAAGTCGATGTTTCGAGATGGTGAAACCAATTGAATTATCGTCTCTGCGCCCGGAAATACGATACCGAACCTTTGCATTACTAACATGGTGTTGCCACTGTATGTCAGCAATCCTTCGGAGACAACGATGATCGAACACAGAGAGACGACTAACATCCTCAACTCGGAGAGGCCAGGTTTCACAAGCATAGAGCAAAACTGCTCTCACCGACGCGTTGTAGATCCGACCTTTTACAGCCAGACTAACATCACGAAGGCTCCAAAGATGGCCCAGATTGGCATAAGCCGCTCTGGCTTTCCTTATACGTGAATCAATCTCATCACTCACGCCACCACCAGCACTTATATAGCTGCCTAGATACACGAACTTCTCAACTACTTCAATCTGCTCACCATCCAGGGTGAGTGCAGGATGAGAATCCTGCCAGTCTTGTAGGAGTACTTTGCACTTGGAGGGTGCAAAGCACACGCCGTAGCTGCGGACACTGATTGCCAACTGCGAATGTCCGGCGCTTTAACCATGCCGGTCGACACGGAAAATTTACCTAGGGGAGTTGGAAAACCCTCATTCCAAACCAATGTTGTACATGGGCTCCACTATACTGAGGGAACAAATGGGCGTATGAACCAACCGTTGGTCACTGGCTACCATGGGACTACATCTCCTCACGATGCTCCACTGCCTTGTGGATCAGGCCTTTAGGTCAAAGGCTCCGAGTGTGGCTCCCTAAGAAAACCACCAGCTTCAGTTTGGGCACCTGGGCAGTATCTCAGCCATCACACAAACAAATGATGACTTGTACTGACAATATCTTCATAACAATAGTAAGAAGAACAATTAGAACATATATAAAGACTATAATTTTTTAATTGTCAACATATTTGAATAGGAAACACAGCAAAGTTGAGTCTGGCTATAGCAAACCAATAATATCAACCTTTACAATGGAAAATTGCTGATAAAGAAGAAAAAAGACAACCACTACTAAAGAAAAATATGTCATGTTAATTAAAAGAAGTGAAATGAATGAAAGCTCTTAGGTTATAGTATGTTGTCAATTTTTTTTTTAAAAAAAAGAGAGGATTCATGGGTACAACTTCAAAATAGAACAAGATGAATAATGGAAAAGCTGATGGATAAAAAAGAATAAAGAAAAGTGTAAAGGCAGGTGTGTGTGTGTGTGTATGGAGTACATGGCTATACATCCAGATGGATACTAGAATCTACAAGTTTTCCAAAAAAAATAAAGAAAAAATATAAAAAAACAGTATGATAATAATAATAACACCAAGGACAGTCTTTTTGTTAAAAATAGAAAGAAAGAACCATTTTAACAGCATCCATAATAATTCAAATAATTTAAATTAAACTTTATCTAATGGTAGAATATCATTTTCATTAGCTAATGGAATTAAATCACAAAACATAGCACTTTCAACCTAAAAAAAGAAGAAAAAAAGGTAAAACACAAAATAAAAATTAGTAAAAGAAATAGAAATCCAAAGATAAAAATGAATAAGGAATCATGAATATGCATATTGTTATGAAAGTTAAAATGAGGATAAAGTATAGTTGCCCAATACTGGATGGGTTTTTTTGGTTCAGAAGGGGTTTGTGGAGAATTAAGTATTTTCATAGTTGAAATCATGAGTCAATTGAAGCTAGACCATCATGGAAAACATGGACGGTCGTTTTGTCCTATTATAGGACTCCTCAGCAGTGCGCATCCACGATCCAAATTTTTTTAAACATTAGTCATCTCTTATTGTTTTAAGACTGACGAAAATCATACATGAGAATTTTACAAAATGTTTACAAAACTAAATAGTGATTATCTCCTTAATAGTTTAAATAACTTTACTGAAGTCCTAAAAAAGAAATGTTACATCTCAAACTGATTTAAAGTTGAAAATCAAAGACCAGTAAGATCCAATCGTACACAATTCACAGTCATATGAATTTCACCACGACATCTAAGAATCTTTAATCAAATTATTCCGTTTGGTGTCATTGTGTAAGGGCTATTGAAAAGTCCCAAAGTGGTAAAATGAAATGCCTCTCTTCACTGTTTTTGTTTTAATGGGTTTCTAATTGATGCCAGTTTGTAATGATAATTACACCTTTGTAATGTACAATCCCTGGTGGGTCATGGATGAGAACTGCTAGGGAACCCTATACTAGGACGAAGCAACTGTCTAGTGTTTCCCCAGGATTTTATTGGTCGTCTGAGTAAAATCAGTCAGCAATGTAATGTATGGGAATTCAACAATCTCCACAAAACGCCTGTAATAATAATAATGTGCACACTAGTAACTAACTTCAAAATGGGACTCTATCTTTCTTTCACTCTATTTTACTGACATTTGTGTAGTAATTCACCCAAAAATTATCAGTTTACTCACTATATCCATTTCAGTTTTTTTGTTAAAACTAATTTTATAGATCAGAAGGGGTTTTGTGGAGATTTTAGTATTTTCATATTTGAAATCATGAGTCAATTGAAGCTAGACCAACATTGAAAACCTGGAAGTACTGGACGACCGTTTCGTCCTATTATGGGACTCCTCAGCAGTGCACATCCATAATAGGACGAAACGGCTGTCCAGTACTTCCAAGTTTTCAATGTTGGTCTAGCTTCAATTGACTCATGATTTCAACTATGAAAAACTAATTTTGCAATACAACGCCTAGTTTGTACATTTAAAACAAATAACTAATTGATTAGTTCATTCAAGAAATAAATAAAAATGTAAAACGTACCGACATTGAATATACACACTTTGTAGGCTCAGAGAATGACAAGAAAATATCTTTACTTGTTGAATGTAAACATCTAGAAATTATTCCGAAACAAGAAAATTGAGAAGATGTACATCATACACATACATAGAAACAAAGAATATTTTACTTTTCAAAGTTATGATATTAATATGTGAATACTGTATTTTTGTTTCCACTAGATAACAAACAAAAGGTTATAGGATGTATCTAGGGTTTGGTACTATGTCAAGCCCACATAGGTTATTTTAGCTTCTGGACAGTTCAATTTATTCATTCTATTCAAGCTGTATTTTGACCTTGTGACTTATTCGTCTATAAGCCGTGACTGTTTTTATATGATCGTGTTAATTACTTAATCTCTTCATTACGTGTCTGTGACTTATTTTTTGCCTGAATATAAATATTGAATCAAGCTTGGTCAAAACGAGTTGGTTGACATGCCTTTTTCAATCCGTTCCGCTACGTTCCTGTGGTCATCTGTTTGGATCAACGATTGAATGAAATATACGAATTCAAAATCCATTCATGTATTTGACTTATTTAACTCTGTTATTCTCTGATGTTTCAAGATGGTGACACCAATTAGATTACCGTCTCTGCGCCCGGAACACGATGCCGAACCTGAGCATTACTAACATGGTGCTGCCACTGGGTGTCAGCAATTATTCGGAGACAACGTAAAACTTCGATCTATTCAACCTTCTTCATGTTAATAATCTATTTTCACCATGATCATTATTCCTTGTCCATGGATGATGTGTGCTTTCTATTTCCTCTTCCACTTATATAAACCTACAAACCAAATGGTCAATCTTTTGAAGTGATCAGTCATTCTAAAAGTACGTAATTTTACATTTGATTTTAATGTTGAATAATTGTAAAAACGAAACTTGAATATTCTTGAACAAAATAACTGTTAAGTCTATCGAAGCGTCCAAATCACCCAATTGAGATACGGGCGAAATCGAAGTTCACGTTTTCTTGTCCGCAATAAAAAAGGCTCCAATAGTGTAAAATGACAGCCCTTGGTTGTGTCTAAACTTGATAACGGTTTATCAACCAGTAAAAATTGAACTAAGAGCAAGCAATATGGAGACTGTCACGTTTAAACAAGGGTTAAACGATTGCACAGAATTGCGAACAACTGATACAATGATTGAGACAAAGTAATTATAATGATAAATACAATAAATGTCATAAGTATATGTAAATATTTCAGAATATCACACGACAAGCTTGTGTTACAGTATGAGCGTAGAAATTTCTAGGAATAAACTCTTTACTGAATATTAATAAGTAGTATAAAACAATACACAAAAGAGTCGAGGGGAAGTTAATAGGGACAGAGAACGTAAAGCAGACTTGAGAATAACAAATGATAAATAATAACAATAATACAATTCGGAAACACTATACAAGTTGACATACTAGTCAGTATGAACCGTACTTATTCTATTGGGGTTAAAATGTCGTAGTTCGACATCTTCAGTGTTATAGCCGAAACACTCCTAGTGAACTGTTTTATATGATAAGTTAAATAAATAAGTACCATAGATAAATTTTCCACTTATGGCTCGTTAAACGAAATATAGATCCATGCACTGAAATGTGAGTCAAATTTCTATTGAGTGGGCTAATGGTGTGAAATGAAGCATGATAATTGGGTCAATGAAAATTTATGTCAGATCGTACATTGTGAACGACTGATCATAACTCATACATTTTTTATACAGCGTAGACGTTAAAGAAAGCCAAATTTAAGCTACGGAGTAGGTTTTGCACTATTGATCATGGTTATTTTTACCAGTTACCGCTTCAATCATTCTACATCCGAAAACAGTAAGGCTAATAAGTTAGTTAATTAATCCTGAGAAACTAAATTGGAAAGCCGATTGGCGTTTCAGGAAAAAAGAGCTTTAATAAAAATTTGCGAGACCGGAGCACTAGAGAAAGTAAAGCAAACGGACACGTTAACAATTCATGTTATAGTTAGAGACTTCGATGCAACTATACTTTTGTGAAGCGAATGGACACGTTACTAGTCTGCGTTTTTGTGCAGCTACGTTAGACTTTCCTATCCGGAAAATTTGCAACAAAAAAGCGCAGAGAGCAATAATGTTTATACCAGTACAGGATGTGGGTAAAAATCATTGCAGTTATGTGTTATATGTGCACATAGGATATAAAAGTCAGAGACTGATGCATTCCATGGTACACACACATGGCATATATGTTCGAGGTCGCAAGCGTATGTTAAATAAATAAATAGATTGCATAGACGGAGGCCTATACACTCCATAGTTTACACATAGGTATGGATGGGATTTGAATTCTTTGTACCAAGTCGGAGCTCAGTCATAGTAGGAAATGAATGAAGTACTTGCCTTCAAATTATTGGATTAAAAGTTTTCTATTGACGATCAGCTCCTTCACGCTCAATACCACAAACAGATTTAGTGTTCACCTCTGCTTTGCACGAAACTTGATGGGCCTTCTTAGAGATAATCCGGCCCGAAACAAAAAGGAATAACCTATTTTTCCAGTTCTGCGCATTCCATAAGTCTAATTTACGACAGAGTTGGTTTGAGCCTGATCTCTACCTAGCCGCTCACATTAGTTCATGGAATCAGGTCCCACTGTCCCCGGGGTACCTTGAGAAGATGTGAGTCAGGCCATGTAATTTAAAGTGATCAGGTTTGAAATTTTATTAAACAGAACTTATCCGACATTCAAAAAAGTCGATAAATCATTCCATGCTCTCGAAAAAAGGAATTAAAACGAACTGACTATCAATAGATCTTATAGCATTTAACCGTATCAATGACAAAATTTACAAGTATTTGCTGTAACCGTGAGAATTGGATTTGGTAATAGCAATTTATGCTAGAAAATTGATAGTTCAGTAGGACTAAGAAAATAAACTAACCATTAAATTAATAGAGTTCATGACACGCTTGAATTAATTATGCAACTAACGATCAAAAACCAGATATGGGTCACAATAACAGCCTATTAATACACAATACAAAACAGTCAACAGATGCAGAAGTCAAAGTGGAACATAACTGAAACCAATTTTAGACGTCAGATAGTCTCTTTCATTCAATGTAGCCACATGTGTCTGTCTTCTCATATTGGACAATCACGAGTTACCTTGACCAACGTTTCAGAATTCAAAGTTAGCACTTACTGAGAATTTGTGTATTGTATGTAAGTGTCTGAGTGTATATACAAGTTTTAAAAAAATACTAGAACACAATAAGGATAAACAGTAGTCTTACGAAAAGACTTACTTTATCTTTACCACAACTTCTCGAAGTTTGTTAGTTTCTGTACACAAATCACCTCGACCATAGTACAATGAAATTTGTCTGTAGAATAAACACAGCATAAAAATGACAAAATGAAAGTATAATAAATTAAATACGCAAAAGGTTAAATGCTTTGCATAAGTCCTGAAGGGCCTGAGTTCGATCATTTGTGAGGTCACGAGTAGAAGTTCCTGAAGAGCTTCACACTAGAACGAAAAAATTTTTTAGGGCACGCTGTCTATCAATGATTGTCTGATTAGTCATTTCTTGATGCCAACTAAAAAATATAAGAAAGCTTAACTAATAAAATATTATCGAAATCATGAAGCGACTCAAGACAGACAACCGTTCAAAACTATAGGGACATTGAACAGTTATTTCGTCCTAGTATCGGACACCTCAACGAAGCATACCTATGACCCCACTGGAGATTAAACCAGAAGCTTTGGGTCTCGTGGCAAGCGATTAACCTTTAGGCCACTGAATCACAATCTCGGAGTTAGTAACTAGCGAGTACATGAGTCATTATTAAAGGTTTTTTGGAGATTGTTGAATGTTAATAAGATCACGAACTGACCTTAGATAAACAACGATTGAAAACAAGGACCAAAACAACTGTCCAGTACCCCAAAGTTCTCAACAATTTTCTAACTTGGGCCAGTATGTGATCGTAATAACACTCAATAATCTCTACAAAACTCTGAATAATGATAATAAAAGTTTGATGATAACAAGTTAAATCAGAAGTACAGATATTTATTACCTATTAGAACTACCAGAAGACTTTTGTTTTTTTAAATTATTCTCTTCAAACCATTTTACATGATTGTCTAAATCCCAATTGCCAAGACGAATTTCTTGAAGTTGTTTTGTATTTGCATCCTTTAATAGTGAATTGAAAATAAAAGAATATTTAGTCAGTACATATTAGTGACATAGAAAACAAACAAAAACGTAGTAATAACAAACAGAGATGAATGATAATTAACAGTGGAATCTAGGACGCGCGTTTCGTCCTATTTTGGACTAGTCAACTGAATGTAACTGTATTTCAAAGTCAATGTCCATCCCGAGATTCGAACCCAGTACCATCTGCCTCGAACGCCATCGTATCATCCACTTAGCTGCTGAGTCGCGAGTCCAAAATAATAAGACGAAACGCGTGTTCTGGATTCCACTGCTAGCCACCATTCACCTCTGCTTATAACGCTTGTGAATTGAGGCAATGTCGAGGCAATATACACAGCATTCACATATGCCAAAAGAAACTAATCAATTGCAGTCCTAAACACCAATGGGAAGATTCAAACAACCAACACAAATGAAAAACATACTAACTTTTCAGATCTCCTCACATTTAAAATGACTGTCTTAAAATGGTCAACAATCGTAAGAATATATCATTTATGAAAAATCTGTCACGACAGGGATATTATACAGTTAGTGTGTTGATTATCCATGTTTTTATAGTCTGCTGTTTGTTAGAGAGGGATCAATTACTTATCGGTACTACACATTCAACATTCTCAACCCAGTTCCTCAACCACCTTTTAGGGGAAAATTAATATTTTATATACAGATTTTCCTTTTAATGATCAGTGATTATCAGAATACAGTAGAATAACATGCGGAAACAATAAATAATAACTGAATTCGTCGAAATTTGATCGATTGTTAAGTTGAGTGATTATCTTATCGATTTAATCAGTAATCTTGATCACTTTATATCACATTATAATCAACTACAATCACTCTTATAATTGGGTTGTAAGTGTTGGCGAAACATGTTTCGCTAGAAGCTGATTAGATGAAATGACTTTCCTTTGTTGTGATTTTGCAGTCATGAGCGAAAACTTTGAACTTAAACATGATCATGTTGTAATCCTGGTAGTAACTGATATACAGAACTACAACGTCAAATGGTTTTATAAAGACGCCCAGGAAATTTTACTGAAATCGTCATCATTATCATCAATGACAATGGTGAAAAGACTTGTTTAGTAGTCATTTTTCTTGATTAAAAATACAATGTGAATCACATTAAAGTCAAGAATTAAGGGAAGTTAGAGTGAACTACTGTACTTAAACCACTGTGATCGATTTTCTACCATGTGGCAACTTATGGACAGAATCCAAGCAGGTGGTGGATGAATGTCAAAGTAGGGGTGGGTGGTTAGACAGTCATACTGTAGTGAACAAGAAGATGAAATGGGACAATCGAATGTATTTACGCACAAAATTACAGAATATCTCGGTAAAATATGAGAACCATATAGTAAATAGTTAATTTGAAAACTATCAATCGTCCCAATTTTGAACGTTTCTTCTGTAAATATCAGTCCATCGCCTCCAATTATTATTGTTCATGCATTTTCATAACGATTGCATTTCGTTCCCATTCTTTCGTTATCGATCTTCTACTGAAATACATTCAATGCCCGACCACCATTACATAATACTTATGAGGATATAAGTAACCCACACCACAATACAACATGTCCCAATCATCGAAGTCGATGAATGTTTATGACTTTCATAAACTGACTTATTATTTTTATCTATTACTCTTAATTGACTACAGTGATTAAGTATTATATGTTTCAATAAATAAAGAATAGATCAGAGGGTGTTTTGTGGAGAATTTAGTATTTTCATAGTTGAAATCATGGGTCAATTGAAGGTAGACCCCGCAGGTGCGGGATCGTGGATGCGCACTGCTGAGGAGTCCCATAATAGAACGAAACGGCCATCCAGTGCTTCCAGGTTTTCGATGGTGGTCTAGCTTCAATTGACCCATGATTTCAACTATGAAAATAAAGAATAACTTTTTTAACGGTCAGTTTTAAGTAAAACGAAAGTTAAAAAAAGAATTATAAAATGAAGATAATTTACCAAATGATATTGTCTTACAAACTTGTTAAAGCATATTTCATATGTCCACCATCCTAAATTACCAGTTAAACAAAGTTTTCCTTGAAGAAATTCCATAACTTGATTATCATCAACAGATTTCATTATAGATGGGTTAATTGTGGATGATGTTAATGATGATGGTGTTTTCAAGCTGGAAGCCACTTGATTTACAAAATCTAAATCAGAAAAACTTGAACTATCGTGACTATTTTTAGTGTCATCATTGACCTAAGTAAAGAAAAAAAAGATAAGATAATGGACGTAAAAGAGTGCAGATTAACGTATAGCTTACAAAATCATTATATGATGATAGAAGCTAGTTACAAATGATTAAATTGGACAGTCAAGGTTATGGATATTTAAAACTTCTCAGGATTTGCATCAGAAACACTTTGGTCTAATGATAATGAACATTAAATCGTATAATATTCAGTACTAGCAATAATTAGTTAGTCAACTGGGTGAAATACAATATGGTTATTAGAGTCAAGAAATTTAGCATTATTGTGTATAGGTAAATTTAACGTAGATGGTTAGGGATAGATGTAGTCGGTAGGAAATCATGAACAAATATTTCACACTTTTTGAGACTCTTCAGCACAGCTTACCTAGAATCCTGAAGAAACTGATACTCACTGTGAAATTCGAACTCGCCTCACCCAGTTTTATAGTCTCAGACATTATTACTGAGCTATTCCAGTAACAACTTATTTCGAGGACTGAAGTATTTAAAATTGACTGATTATTGAGTAGTGACTAGAGCCGTGTTTGTTTAGTCCTTCAGAGCTGGTTGAATTTCATCATACAAGTTGTGATCTTGTCCAGGGTTTCCTACCGACCATACTCGACCCCTCAAGATCATAACACAATACATGCGACGTCACGTCAGTCGCACTAGTGGACAGATTTAAGCGTGGTCGATAAAAATCGATCGGCATTAAACAAGGACGATATTAGTCACTACTCAGTGATCGATCAATTGTAATTTACGTCAAAATCTGACATAATCTGTAGAACTATTATAAATCAAAAAGCACCAAACGGTTTTTTCAAATCTTTAACAACAATGCATACTCATAACCTTTCACACAGTATCGAACCCAAACTCTTTGGGTTTCACAACTAGCATGATACCATTGAACAGATAAGTTGAAATTACAACAATTCTTAAGCTTATGTTAGTTCATAATGAAAGTCACATTCAAAATATCTGTGATAAACTATCTGTAATATAAATCAACAATAGTCTGCCTTTTAGATAATCTCAACTAATCATACCATCTTAACCATGGAAAATTAATGAAAAGTTTTTTTTTTAAAGAAAGCAGTATTCATGTAGAAAAGATACTGAATTCACAAGTTACTTACATTAATTTGTGTATTATCGATTGTAGAGGTGCTTTCATCATTAGGATCTTCAGCCGGATTGACTTGATAAAAAACCACATCTTTACCATGTTTTGCACTGATCTAGAAAGATTTTTTTTTCAAATAAACATATGTATCTATGTCAGACTGTGTCGTGGAAAAATAAGTACATAATAGGTAAAAAAAATATCTATTAGGAAAAGAATGAAGCTAAAGAAAAAACTACTGAAATTAGTTGTTTCAGGTCTACAGTCCGGTCGTTTCAAAATCGTAAGCCTAAATAGTCGTACATGGAAGTGGATCTATGATCGTTAAACTGTGCAGCACACGAAAGCTATATGATTAGATTATATGGGGTTCGAATTTAATATTTTAAAGTCATAATTAGAATTAATTTTATGGTGTAGCACACTTATGTATGTATATTGCCATCTGAACGAGAACAAAAATTCATTGGTCAAGTGATCAATTGGAATATGAATTCAAAATATAAATTAGTATTTAAACGGATAGTGATATGTTGGTGCAATGAGTTATAATTCTGATATGTAAATTAAAAAGAGCACCCGATTTCTCAAACTGAAGTAAACTCAGAGTAATGCAAAGTTACGACACAACAGTTAAAAAGTAAGATCTTAAAATTATTAAGTCATACAATGAACAGCCTAAATATGAATGTATTTTGGTTTAAGTTACACTATACCACTCAGCGATAAAATAAGAGGAAGTTAAGACGGAAAATAGTAAAAAATTAGTTAAATTCGAGTTAGACGATATTGTAAAAGTGTTGATTAGATAGTAAACTGTTCACTTAAGCAATGCTAACGGGTGATGGAACCGTTTGAGCAATGTTGAGGTTAGACATCAAGTTCTATATGATGCAAAGTAAACTATTAAACCGGTAAATTTACAAAGGGCGTAGTACCTACGTCATGTATTAACATGTCGATAAAAATATAAGATGCTGTTAAAAATAGGATTGATATATTTGTGAACTAATCTGTTTGCAACTCTGAATTCAATACAATGAACGAGGCTGCTCCTATCCTCTTCTCCCTTGAAGGTTAACTGGAGCAAGTAGTTCCAGCTTGTATAGAAGTTTCCTGATGACACTCCATAAGAATTAAATTATACTCAGGTTTATTCAAATTATTTATCAACCATTAAATGATCATTGATTAATGGGTGCGAAATCACAGTGAATTAAGAAATGCAATGAAAATGTATTAAAAGTTAATAAAGTGAAAGTCATTTTAATCGATACGCGAATTTTGAGATGGATTTAAACATATGGGACTCCAACAGAACTGGAAAAGGGATTAAAAGCAGCTACATTAATAAACGATACCAGTATACAAAGTCAATAACCCATAGTCCATGTAAGAGAGAAGTGGCAGATTAGTTAAATGGAGTCCACATCATAATATAAATTACTAAGGTGCATGAGTGACCACATCTAAAATATATCAGAATGGTTTAGATTTATCCAATATTTAGCTTCTTTGAAACCTTAAACACTTCACTGTGTATCATTTATTATTCCTAGCTTGACTAACATCCTTTTAATCCAATTCGTTAAATTCCAATTTTATAGATGCTATTTTACTGTATTGCCAGGAAATGTGCCAACTCAAACCTATGAGGTTTTATGAAACGTTTTAAGTTATATCTGTCTTTATATCTATCTACTTATCTATAAGAATTTCAAAGACATTAAATAGGGAGTTAACATTGTGATCTAAACTTCACAATTTATATTCGACGGTTTGAATCAGCGTGAAATGTTGCTTATACTAAATTTAACATTTTATGACTCGTCATTGAATCACTGAGAAAACCCTATGTTTTATAAAATTCAAACCTAGTTCATTCAACATAACATTCCGATAAGCTCATTTGAAAAATTGAAACAAATGGTTCAGTGAACACAAACCAATAGTTTTTTTGTTTCCTTTAAAGTTAACAGAATTCCAAAGTAAATATAACTCAAATTATTTATTGAGCAATAGAAAATATTATACAGTTGAGATCCTGAGTCAATTGAAGCTAGACAACCATGGAAAACCTGGAAGAACTGGACGGCCGTTTCGTCCTATCATGGGACTCCTCAGCAGTGAGCATCCACTATCCCTCACTCGCGAGATTCGAATCCAGGACCTACCAGTCTCGAGCCAGAGCCCTTAACCGATAGACCACTGAGCCGGCATCCAACGGTATTAATTTCTAACTTCAACTGATCCACGAAATTGAGCAACCATTCACCAATGTCATCAGTGACTTACTATCTCACAACAGACCTGGTTGAACTCCACTGATTACTGCTTCTCACTAGAACTCCAGGAAATACCTCATGGAGCCAGTCACTAGTGAGCACATGATCTAGCACATGGTCTAGCTTCAATTGACTCAGGATCTCAACTCTATAAAATTACTAAAATCTCCACAAAATCCCCTTCTGACAATGGAAAATATCACAATCTCCATTGAAATATGGAGTAAAGTTAGTAGCAAGAATTATGTCATACAATTGGTAACCATTCGTTCTAACCATGACGAATATTCGTATAAATCATGAAATCATAATACAACTCGGCAAAAATATGCAAACTAGTCGATTAAACTATAAATTATATTTACTATTTAAAGGTTACCAATGTGAGACCCCCCGCACTGTTGTGAATAGATTAGGGTTTATTCATATCATAAAAAAAATAGAAGTTGAATGCATAAAACATAAAGCTGTGGCTTTTGTTCTCAGAAGAATAATCGTGCAATCCAAAGCTGAAAACGCTAGGAAATCGAATCACACTAGTAGTACTAGTATGATTTTAAACAAACACTAAGTGATGAACACTTGACCATATAAACACACAAGTTCACATTGTGTAAAGCACATGCAATAAATACTTACTTCAATTAACTGTAAATGAATAATTTTAAATAAACATTTAACCAGAGATAATTAAGATAAAGCATTTTTTTCATATTCAGATCTTTTTCGAGTCTTAGAATATGTATAATGACTAGCTAGTTAAAACTGTTCGAAGAAACATCTCTTAATGAATTTCATACATATTGTCACGATTGCTAACTTGACAAAAGCAAGAATATTGTATTTGAAGTCAAATGATCATTTACCTTTAATGACGACAAAAAATAAATCGTTCATAGATAATGTTTCGGTCTATCATTAAAAGCTACTTAAATGATTATTTTACCATGCTAACATAGAGCTTATTGAGACAAATTCTTAGAAATCTCATGATAGATTTTTAATGACCTCTATTACCAATACGTATTAAGAAATTAATTAGCTTTATCATACTAAATTATGTTGTATCTCACCGGTTTTAAAACATTTCATCACAGAATTGCAATATATTTATGTTAACTAGTCTTTCATAGTAAGCATTGATGAAAGATCTTGAAATCAATGATGTAACATAAATATCTACCTGTCACTTTTTATAAAGTTTATCACGTTATGTGTAGAGCTAAAGCAAGAAAACATCCATAAGGCTGTTACATTTATTCTTCTGTCCCGACAAACTTTAAAGTTTGGCAAATAAGCCAAGTGACTCATAATCACACCACACCGAAACACAAAGGTTGAAGGACGAGTGGTTAAATCATTGAAATACAGCTTCACGCCCAAACGTTTTAGTTAAACTGAGATCACCTAGCATACAAAATGTTTGCAGACAATATAGCCTATGAAACAAGTTTTACAAACAATAAGAGAAAGAATTTGAGTAAAATTCAAGAAACATTAAACGTTTAACGACGCTTAAACTTTTCGTTCAGCATCCATCTAGCTCAGACTACCGAGAGAAAGACTATAATCAAAACTTCAAGGTATATTTAAACGCTGAAGATTCACTCACTAGTACGCTAGCATCATAACTATTCATAAGATAAGAATATCAAAAAAAGTCATAAAGCAAGCACTATCCGCCGAATCTCAAACACGTGTAGCTTTACACCTATGCATAAATGTTCAGTACAAGAGGGTGTGATTATATCAAATACTTGATCTTGACTCCAACGTGACATCTATAAATAAAGACACAGGAAAAACCAAAAGCTAAGCTGAACTGAGGTGTAGGATATTTCACTGTATGAACCAACTGCAGCAGCTAGTTAACCGAATAACTATTGAAAGTTACCAAGTTCTGTACAAACATTTACTTTGGAAAGCAAATAACCGCTTCATCAAAGTGATGCTAAGAAGCTAATTTACGCTTAACCATTACAATAAAGCAACTTAAAGATAAAAATACCAAATCCTTTGACAGTTGAATAATCAAATTTAGAGACAACCAATTGAAATTAAATCTATGACATGAAAAGCAAATACAATCATATTATAATTTAGTTTTCGTTAGGCGTTTGTGCGAAAATCCCCTCCATGAACCAGAACGAGATTGTATCTCCCATCCTAATGGCAAAATATAACTATTACCGACACGACACTAATTTTTACTTCCGTAATCTCGAGAAATCCTATCTCAAAGAACAGATAATTCCTGTCGATGACCATCGGCAAATAGATGGACCAACTACTCGATTATTTTCACTAAATATAATTCATGGAAATCCATTACTCAGTATAATGACCGAATCTCGACTTTGAGCTTACCTACTCTAAACAGTGTTACTATAGTTACTACATAACAATCAGACAATTTACGTCTATGCTTTCTTCAATGACTAACTAATAGGATACTTCCACAGAGCTTAATAAGTCATGAATCAGGTACACTAGGGTTAGTTAAGTTTCTTTACTATTGAAAATAATGAGAAATTGTTAAATTACCTTAACCTTCGATTTAAAAGCATTGCTAAGAATAGCAGCTAGGTCAGTAAAGCTACGAGATTGAAACTTTTTCCGCTCTGCTTCCATAGCAACTAATGCCGACGGTTTACTCGGTGAACTGTTTTTTGAGTGACATGAAATTGGATTGGTATGGGCGCGCTTTTGCTAAAAATAACATTCCAAAATACGATTAGTGCACAAAGAGATAAGGATATTGAAAGTTATCGAAATAATTAAAAATCACTTTGCAACTAAAATTTCGAAGCACCAAGTGTACATAGAACAGAATACATTATTACACGACAATAACAATAGGTATGTATATTATGAATGAGTTGCCAAACTCTTTCCTAACTTTATTGTTATAATAACTCCAACTGTATCAAAGTCAAGTAAATGTTAGTTACACAGCCTTACCAAGATATTAAATAAGTAATCCTACCTAAAATTAACATCTTCATACTTTCTTCTTCTCTAAGCTGTTTGCACCACTATCTTTTCAAAGAGTACGCGCACGCCAATTTACTGCAACATACTCAGCTCTAAAAACCTACGTCAATACTAACGTCTTATTTGGACTATTACAACTGAAAGTAATAAGTACATTGATGGTGCAGTGGTTAACACAATCAGTTATACGCAACGTATAACCTGGTACATGCATAGTGTTGACGCACTCAACTTTTAATCACTAACTTTCAGGTTTGAACTCATCCTCACCTACTTCAGTTTAGACAGCTGTATGGTACTGAGTCCAAACAGAAATCGTACCTAGAGCCAAGTACATGAATACGTACCACACTGAGCGAACTCGAGGTAAGACGCCACGAACTTGTTACAGTGTGAACAGCAAACGTCGTATCAGCTGTAGTAAAATCAGAATTCTAAATATTTATTGTCAAAGTTATTATTAGGCATGAATAATACAGCAGGACATATAGAACCTTAAGACCGATTCCTAAAATAAGTTATATTCAGTTTCAAAGAAATAAACGTAAGCCAAACAGTAAAATCGAGAAGCACGTTGCGCTACATAGTCACACACTAATCTGATGTATATTGATCGGAATCAAATCACAGACGAAGATTATTGAATTCAACACTAAGCTATTGAGCAAAGTTCCACAAAATTAACGACTTTATCTATATCAATATAGCAATTGGAGATCCTTCGCTTGGAATCGACGAGACCAAAAACATATGACTATGGACCTTGTAACATTACTGAAAATTGGGGATTTCGCCTATATGCATCCGCCTTACATTTATTTGAATTCCGAACTACTTACTTTGATTCTACTTAGTTCCTTATGTTTCTCATCAATTATAAGTTTGTTTCTCTGACCAGTATGTTTGGTGTTAGTTACGAAATTGAGAGAACGAAAAGCGAATGTCCGGCGATTTAACCGGGTTGGTGCACACGGATAGTCCACCTAGGGGAATCGGAAAACCCTGATTCCAAACCAATCGTGCACATGGGATCCAGTATCCTGAGGGAAAAAATGGCGTTGGTCACTGAATACCGTGGGACTGCATCTCCTAACGATGCTCCACTGCCCTGTGGATCAGACCTTTAGGTCAAAGGCTCCGGATGTGGCCCCCTAAGAAAACCACCTGCTTCAGTTTGCGCTTCTGGACAGTATCACAGCCCTCACAAAAATCAAATGAGATTTGTGAGGCGCATATATATCTGGTGCCCCATTGTATCAATATTTATGTGTTTAAATAAAATAAATAAGTTTAAAACGTCCGGAGGAGTACCTAAACAAAACTATTTCACATCTTTCTTTGTCCGAAACAAACTCAATATAAGTACCTTTAGGACCGATAGTAAAGACGGTTTTAGTGTCCGTTTTCGTTGACTTAATAATGATCAAACAATATTGATGCTAATTAAATGTACATCGTATGTACTTCGTATGCAATGCCGACAAATTAGTTTGATATAACGTCCATAACAAAGGTCGAATACGAACTTTGTCTAAGATACATGTATTCATTCGTGCATACAGATGATAAGCGAAGGGAGCAGAACAAAAGAAGGAAAATAGACCTGCTTAGTGTAACTAAACGTAACTTAACATTTATAACAATGAAAGAGATGTAGACAAGCATTTCGACACAAGTACTATGACGCACATGTACAAAACATTTGCAGAGTTACATGTGTGTAATAGACAAATGCAAGTAAATAGGTGATAGGACAACTGGGAAAATTATAATGGTTTGTTTGACCGATTGTCAGATGGAATCACGTAGGAATGTAATGATGAGCATTACGGAGGTTTACATACAGTTTTGACAACACCCAGACGTCACCAATTACCTGAATTCTCTTAGATAAAAAGACTGCTTAAAAACAATATTGTTTGTTAAAGCCTAAAAGATTACTTAGGTGGAAATTGATACAGTAAGTTACAAAAGAAGTGTCATGTGTTTACTAAATATTGTGATCCTTATGTATAAATTTCATTTAATTAAGAGTTAAAAATGGTCTAATCTAGGTTTTGTTTGAAGAAAGACCTGACTAGAAGATAAACTGAGTCAAAGCAGCAGTTGTACAGGGGTAATTTGTAAATACTCGGTACATTAGTAAGACATACCTTATAGAGAGGGTTTGAACATAGAAACTTCGTGGCGAAAACCATCTGATACTGACACGTTCGGATTTCAGATACATCAACGATTTGTCCAGTGACACTTTCATGACATATATACATAACAGTTGCTGTACGATGCTCCTGGTTTAGATCACACAAAGTTCCGTCAACATAGCTGATTCCATAGTAAGGGTAAGAATGTTCCCCAAGAGTAACTGTTTTTGGCGGATTCTAGTGAGATTAATAATGATTAGCGGACATACGTCTTTGCTTGGTCGTTCTTTTTTCATTTTAGGATCTAAGTAACTAATATCATGTAATGTTATGACATACCAGGATAATAATGTCCCAGATAAAATTCTTGAACGGGAGGATTCTATTTCTTATTATATAAATTTTGAAAAACAAACCTTTTCCAATTTCTTTTCCTCATGAAACTGTTTTATATATCGATTATGACAAAGCTCATAACTCCAATATGCTTCTGATCTGACGTTACACGGTTGCTCCGTAAACAAAGGCTGTAGTAGAGTTTCTTCATCAACTGAATCTGAGTTTTTAGCCTCGTTTTCTTCTATGTTATGGAATAACGTAGGTATGACGCATTCGTAATCCTCTCCAATTATTGTTCTTATTTTCACAACATCGCTCTTCTATCAAGACCATCTATAAAAAAACACAATTAGTACCTCCCCAGGTTGTTTAGAGTTTCCTAGCCATTTGAAGTCAAATATAATATCATCGGTGACATTGTAAGATGCAATAACACATGAGAAACATAAAAATTCCAGAGCGGAGAACAAGCTTTTAATTTGACACATAATACAGGTCATCTGCATTAACTAATATAAACACGGCTACCTGTAGCTAAAGAAAAAATGTGATAATATGTTAACAGCGCAAGCTGATAGCTAGAACTCAGTATTTTAGATAAGCTAATGCATTAAACTGGTTAGTATTTGTTTTCTTGGTTTGTTTTATGATATATCTTTCAAAGCATTCGGTGAAATACAATTCGCTAAACATAACCACTAATCTTGGACCAACAGACAACGATTACCGCTATTAATAATTTCGTTCAATCTATGAAGATATTCCAACCAACCTTTATGCTATCGAATTGCTCCGAATGATTGATTGAATAAAACTTCTTGAACTAAAGATACCTGACTACTAAGCTTCCAAATAGAATCTGCGACTCTCCAAAGGGATATTTGACACTAGTGTCTAGCTTGCGTTGTAACTTTACTAATAAATGGATGTTCGATGTAAATAGATGAAACGACAATATAGTTATATCTTCTTTTTGCACCTTTATGCTCAGTCACTGCTATATCTTACATGTATTTCTGTTAGTCATCTCTAATGCTCATCTTCACTCTCATGTTTACTTCTATGTATTCGGCCAGTGACTTCGCTTTTCCTGCTCATGTTCGACCATTACTAATTGTTCTCTTCTTGTTTTTTCTTCCTTGATTCTTGTCCACGGTATCAGTAGAGATCCGTTACTTATGATGATTGTTGGTGCCCATCACCTCCTGTCATGTTAATGTTAGTGTTTCCTTAATACCTTGCCAGTTGTTCTCCACAATAGTTTCCTCTTTTTTGAGCATATCGTGTAAGGTCTGGGACGTGTTGTTGAGAGTCATCTTGAATTTGTCGAGTTTGTCAGCATCTCGAAGGAAGGGTGTATTGAATATTTGTAATGCTGTTTGTCCAGTTGTCCAATACTCCTTTAGTCTCAGTTTCATCATGAGCACAACCAGGTACTGACCTGGATCTATATCAGCTCCTCCCTTGGTTCTCATGTCATTCACTGATCTTTTGAACTTGATAGTGATACAAATATGATCGATCTGGTTCTGTGTAGTGTCATTCGGTGAGACACATGCAACTTTGTACGTGTTTGTGAGTGGATGTCGTGCCTATATAACTGTTTCGTTTGATGCACAAATTCGCACATCTCTCTACATTGTCGTTCCCTCCTTCCAGTCCATGTCGTCTCGTAATATTTCCACACTGCCCGTCCCGCCTCCCGCCCATCCATTTTTCTCTCTCTTTTTCAGCGCCCTCATACTACACCATCGAATACATTTGCAGAACATACGATTGCCCTGTGCTATCACTTATACTTCAGCAATTAAGCTGAGATCACTATCCAGAGGCGCAAGCTAGTACATTCAAGTTGGCGTCTTCCATTGCTGTGAATTTCGTTTCCATTCACTCTTCACCACCAATTACATGTCGCAACGCAACTCCCACAAAACGTACCAACTCTCATACTGGACATTATAGTCATGCTAACATTATCATTCTGATGTATGAAAACTTATCCCCCGTTTATATTTTCCATGTACCTTATAACACATCAACCGCATTTGTAACAACCTTATCTTGCTTACAAACTGGCATTCCTCATGCAATATTTTGTTATTTGGCAATACTATCACGATTATTACTATTATTACTCAGTGTTGTCCATTCAGACTACAGTATTTGGGACTCCCATCAGGATGGTTAGGTCCTTTCCTTAGCATTTCTCGACTGTCGGTTGCAGCCTCTCATAAAACTGATATTCATCGCCCTCATTGCCATCATTTGTTGGTGCATAGCAGTGCAAAAGGAAGTGTATAGGAGGCTGTGAAGGAAATTCACTACAACTGCAAGGGTGCAATAAAAATAGGACAGTAACAAAAACTGTCTCATACGTCATTTGAAGGAATGCTTTGTGTCGGTGGACAAGTAAACTGCTCGGACTAACCACCCCCAGTCAAACATACCGTGATCGTACCCAGTCATCACTCTGTAGTAGATGTGATTATCTGACACTATCATCACCTAGAGGACCACACTAGGACTTCATAAGTGCTAGCTATCATAAGCAGGAGTTATTGCATTGTTAAAGGAACCATCGCATTTAAACGATTTACGAGTAAACGCGTTAAGTGCATGCGAACAAAAGCCTCATTGGACCGACAGATGATGGTGTAATGAACGAGGACATAGTTGAGGACAACCAACAGTATTTTGATACAAAATTACAGATTTCCTTCATCAACTGTGAACACCATACATTCAATACTTCATTTGCGAATCCTCCACCAATTGTCTCAAACTTCATCATTTTTTCATTGCCATAAAAACTACTCTTTGTGCCTGCTCTCTTCGATTCAATGTTTCTAACCTTCTTCTACCAGGCATTTCGCTTGTAATTGGTGTTATATGCTACCTATGTCGAACTAATTAGAACACACTATAGTGGGACCTCTTCCTAAGTGTCGGGTCAAGCAAAATTAGTTTTGTTTCTCCTCTGTGGGAATCGACATTTTTGAACCGCTGATAGTTCGTCGAAAACGAAGTGAGAAAAAGAGGTATGGATCCATATATACGTGTCTCCAAACGCGTATTGTACACTAAGAGGTAGTTTTCAGCCTGACGCATTCATTATGGCTTTAATACGTTTCATAAGAAGGAAAGGGACTCTAAAAAAGGCTACAGTGACGACGGAACTAACTTAGTTGTAGCATTTTCTGAATTAAAGGAATTTGACATAGTGTTTGTTGCTAATGTCGCAAACACTGGAAGTTCATGCTCGATGGGACTGGTTGATAAGTGCGATATGGATGAAGAGGGCTCATTAAGAACACTGATAGTACGTATGAGTCTATCATTTATTCTTTCGGTTGTTTAGCGTGCTAGCTTGTGTTAGAGAAACCTTTGACTACGTGGCACCAGCTGTACCGTTTGAAGTATTCTGTACTTTTGATGTAGTCGTTCTGGTTATTGAAGAAGACACAGATCTCGCAACTCTCGAAAAACCTCACGTTTCACAATGAGGCATCATAACATTATTTTGTGATGTTCCAACTCTGAGTTAGTAGTTATGACGGTTGAAATGATCCAAGAATTATGATGTCATTCTTATATACTGCACGTTAGTAGCTGCAGATTGTATAAAAATAAGGTAAACGATCGTATTATCAAGTATATTCCAGCCGACTATCATGGTAAAAAGCATAACTATTTAACTTACTATGAACCACCACCATAAATAATAATCTTCCTGGACTTTGATATTTATGTATATATATTTTATATAAGATTTGAACTTAGTTAGTAATTTTCAACTTCAACTTTCGTCTGCCGATTTTTGCATCCCTGATCCGTTTGTCCATTACCATACATAAAAAATGTGTCCCATTCTCGGTTAAGGCTTTGGCATGATAGAATAAGTGACTCAACCTTGAGGCTGGAAATGCATGAGTCCAAATTGGGACTAATGGCCTGAGGCAGAGATGAAAACTATCCTATCACCTGACTGACTGACAAGGGGGAAACCAGAGGGTAGATCAACGGGAAGACTCCTCAATTTATTCCTGACTCTGATTTATAAAAAAAGAATTGTGAGTAAATAGATGACCAATACGACCACAATGTACAAACGGCTAGCAAATACGATTGTGTTCAAACAAAACATTAGGACTGAAAAATGTAGTACATGAGGCCACGATAATATTGCAGTAGCTTTGGAAAAGAAAAAGGTATTAAAATGAATCATGTATCACACAAAAGCGTATGGTTTATAGAAGAAACTAGATACACAACTCAATGTTGGTGTTTATAAACTTTGAATTAGATGCATTAATCTCCCCGAAAATAGCTTTCAATGTTCGTCATGGCTTTTTATTTATCTGTTCACATCACTATATTTTCATTTTGCACTTTTATTCTGGAAACATGAATGTTAAATGTTTTTATGGAATCTATTGTTGTAGTTATCATACAGAGCAACTTTTTGATAGATCTGCAAAATATAAGTAATATTCAATTATTTAAGTCGTAAAGATTTTGGTTCCCACCATTTCGTTAAAATTCGCTGTAAACCCATCGACATGTCTCTGTAAAAATGTATGAACAATTCCCCTGTATAAGTTACTTTTCTCTTGGTCAATCACTTATTCTTTCTTTGTACGTATCGTTTCTCCTGTTGTGGACTATATCTACTCATATTATGCTTGTTATTTGGCCTATCTCAAATGATCGTCACCATATTGTTTACAGTTGCTGAAGTTTAGTCAACTTTTGAATAATGCTGTGGTTTTGACAAATCTTTGACCCTCCAGCTCACCTAATATTCCGATCTACACCAGCTACCATATACGACAGCCTTCTAGTTAATTGATTCAACTTAGTATAGTTGTATGATTTCGTTTGTGGTGGAATGTACATTTCGTTTGTAAACTGTTGGACAAGTCTATTGTTTTGAACAGTAAGCAGCTCATTTAGGAGCTACTCAGTTGACGATACTTTCAGCCTTCTTGAGTTAAAACACTAATTATGGGTTGGCAATGTTGTTTTTATTTTCTTCCAAGTGATTGCTATCTATTATCAATGTTTTGTGGTATTATGATCCACTTCGGTATTAGTACATTTACCTTTCCCACTATAGTGATAGATCTAATCTCAGTGATGTGACTACCGTATCTTTGAAATCTTGAGTGGAATTCAAATATTGTCCATACTGGCTCATCCGAATATGACAATCAGTAATATACGTATTAATTATCCTTTGTACTTAAGTGGGACTTTCATAACATCACTCTAAATTATGACTGCACAAACACTTATTGTGACGTCATATCTTACCTCAATAATAAGTTATTTACTTATTAAGTCATTTTGTTTTATTTTGTTTTAATTACTCATTTGATGGCACTAAGTCGTTTATTTTTGTTCTGTGTTCATAAACACGCTTATTAAGTAACTTACGTACTTCGCGTCTTCTTTATTTCTATTTCCTTAGTCTCTCCGTTTCCTTCCCTAAAATCAATTCAATGTCCTTCGCAATTACACAGAACCTGACTTATTATTATCACTCTATAATAAATATTCTATTTTCGTTTTCTTTCCTTTCTCTTCTTCAGATATAGTAAATATAATGCTAACATTATTGAAACTTGTGTATTATAGAATTTCTGAAGAAACCCGAAGTGGTTTCTTCACAACACATATATAATCATAAGATGTTT